TTGCATTTTAATACTATTGTTAGCTATTTTTAGAATTTTCTATTCATTTGTTTTGTTTGTTTGAATGAATGAATTACTTCTGCCACTGAACACCTTAATTACTCCTACGACGATCAATAAAATATCTATCTATCTATCTATTTTTATTGGTCAGACTTATCCACTGGTTCAAACCGTTCTGTGGGTTGCAGGTTGCTCTCTGGACGGTCGATCCTACAACAGCACCGACCACTGGACCACCTCCACCAAACCCTGCACCAGTCGCCGCTGTCAGGTCTGTTCACACACTGTATATAGATGGACAATGCTAACACGCTAGCTCCCTGAAGCCCAATACAGATCTACATGTGGATCTAAAGTCTCGCTCTGGCTCCTATTGACTCACATTGAAAAGTAAACTCCTTGAGCTCAGGAACTGTTTGTGTGACACCACTTTGGCCGTTAAAAATCGTGTCTTTGTAAATCCAGACATGAGCCAATAAATACTGACCAATCACATACTTTCTGCCCTGAATTTAGCTTTAGCTGTGAGTAGCAGAGGTGAGTACAGACCAGGGCCACTAACTGGTTTACTGGTTTTACTTGTACTGTACATTTTGTAAGTCGGTCTTGAATATGAATAAAATTGTAGTATTTTTATTACTAATAAAAGTGATTGGCTCTTGGTTGATCAGTTGTTGCGACCTAAAAATGTGTGCCATATGAACCAGGTGGGACTCTGAGGAGCACAGGGACTGGTCTCCTGCTGGGACTCTGAGGAGCACAGGGACTGTTCTCCTGCTGGGACTCTGAGGAGCACAGGGACTGGTCTCCTGCTGGGACTCTGAGGAGCACAGGGACTGGTCTCCTACTGGGACTCTGAGGAGCACAGGGACTGACCTCCTGCTGGGACTCTGAGGAGCACAGGGACTGGTCTCCTGCTGGGACTCTGAGGAGCACAGGGACTGGCCTCCTGCTGGTCCCAGAGTCAAGACTAAACATCGGAAAGGCAGCATTTCAAATTCATGCAGCTAAAATCTGGAACAGTCTTCCTGAAAATGTGAGACAGGCCTCTTCTCTGACAATGTTCAAAACCAGGTTAAAAACGGTTCTGTTTTGCTGCATAAAATTGAAGAGCTGTATCTTTTCTCTTTATAATGTGCTGTGACCATTTATGATTTTAATGTTTTGTTCGTTGAGTTGTTATAGAAACAGACTTCCCTCGAGCGGCCTCCATTTCCCTCCAGATTCCCGCCCAAATCTCCTGCTTCTTTCCGCATTAAGACCCTAACAACCCTTCACTGTGGGTGAGGGCAGCGGCCTGTGGGTCCGTGGGGCGATTCCCTCGGTCAGCAGAGATAAGAGGCGTGTTGTTTCAGGGCTGACGTCACGCTCGCTCCGTGACCTCAGCGTTGAAGCAACACGCCGCCGTGTTTGGTCAGTTCTGTGTCTCTGGGTTTTAGCCACAATGCGGAACGTAATGAGTGCGGGTCGAGTGGGTGTAGATCCATGTGAAAGTGTTCTGTGTTTGACAAAGGGTTGGGGCGTGGTTTGTTCAGGTTTCACTTCAGCAGTTGGAGAATTTATCAATTTTTGTCTGTTAATTAATATCAATAGAAAAACCAACAGCTTTTGTATAACAACATACTGATTTATTTACAGCAAAAATAGACTCAGTTAATTTTTAAAAAATACAATACGTTTATGATACTGATAATTGTTGATACTTTAGTTAGCATCATGTGTTGTTTCTAGTGCAGTAAGTTAATGCTGACTCAAATGTCCAGCTACTTCTAGCTTTATCTGAGAGTTGTAAGTCAAGGCGCCGGGATTATAATTGATTAGTATTAGAAAATAATGGATTATTTATTTCATGTGTTTCTCTTTGAAGGAAGTTTGTTTTTGTCTGTGGGCTGTTGAAATGACCGACAGACAGTGTTGGGCACGTTACTTTGAAAAAGTAATTAGTTATAGTTACTAGTTACTTCTCCCAAAAAGTAACTGAGTTACTAACGGAGTTACTCCACTATAAAAGTAACTAGTTACCAGTAAAAGTAACTATTGCGTTACTTTTTCGTTTTGTTCTGGAACATAATGTGCACTCGACGTGCGCATTTTTACCTTTAACCTCAGTGAGTCTGAAATAGTGCCAATATTTCCATCTAGAAAAGTCTGTTTTGCTGCTGAAGTCCTGTTCACTCTTCATCTCTCTCTGTGCTGTAAGCACTAAACACCAACACCCATCACTGTGAATGTGGAAACACCGGTGAAGCACTGACTTCAGCCCAATCAGATGAACATATATATATCATATAAATCAACTGGACCTAGAGAGCGGCTTATTTGTTTGGCTACAGCAGAATATGTTTCATTCCCGCATTGTTTATTCATACAAAACGCAAAACTAAGAGTTATGGGTCTTACCTTATAAATGACCTGCACAGTTCACTTCGGTTCAGACCAGTTCTGTGTTTAAGTCCAGATAATAGTTTGAGCGTAGATATATAATCCTCCATTTGGAAATGAGTCCAATGAGTTTTAAAAAGCAAAACAAAACGCGTGTGTCCTCCATAAACTCCTCTGTTTTGCTGAAGCCGGGTGCATCCGATTTCTAAAATCAACCGTCTTACACTTCACCTCTCTTTCTTATCATTCCTATAGTCATTGAAAAATTACCCTAAGTGCATTTTAAATTATCTTAAAATGTGTTATATGTATGTTAGCCAAACCTATTGCTGTCCTTAGCAGATAAACCAGGAAGAGAAAGGAGCTTATCGATGGAATTGTATGCAGCCGACTTCTGCGCTCACATGAGCTCCTCTGAGGCCTCACGGTGATACAAGCCGTGGTAGAGTGTGATTAATTTGTTTCATTTGTTTAAAAAATACAATTTATTAGCTATCCTCTCAACTGTAGACATGTAGATTGTAAAGGAAATATGTTTTACATCAGCCAATAATTTCTGAGAGGTTTTCTCATCCTCCCTTCTCTCATGACAACACGCGCACGAGTCCTATCACGAAGTAAAAAGAGAAGTTCATTGTGCGTCTTGAGTAACGCGCAGTAACGGGATGTCGGAAATGATAACGGCGTTATAGTTACAGTCAAAGTAATTAGTTAGATTACTCGTTACTGAAAAAAGTAACGGCGTTAGTAACGCTGTTACTAGTAATGCCGTTATTCCCATCACTGCCGACAGAGCCATACAGAAATATTGGATTATTCATTTAATTATTAAAGAAAATATGGTACACGTTTTTGCAAGGTTTGAATGTTTAGCCCCCGCCCCCAACTCGCTCACAGGCTTCTCATTTCCCGTAAGCTCTCATCCCACGGAGCCATCTAGTTTTATTTGCAAGCTGATAGAAATGCAAGCATTAGCATGAGCGCAACTTCTTGTAAGCTGTACAACAATCACTGATGAAATGGAACAAAAGCAACGCACTGCTAACACAATATATAAGTGAAAGACTACTGCTAGTTCCGCGTCCGAATGTAGTCCGAGCATAGATAGTCCCAACATAGATAGTCCGAGCATTGATAGTCCGAGCGTAAATAGTCCGAGCGTAAATAGTCCGAGCGTAGATAGTCCGAGCGTAGATAGTCAGAGCGTAGATAGTCCGAGCGTAGATAGTCCGAGCGTAGATAGTCTGAGCGTAGACAGTCTGAGCATAGATAGTCCGAGCGTAGATAGTCCGAGCGTAGATAGTCCGAGCGTAGATAGTCAGAGCGTAGATAGTCCGAGCGTAGATAGTCCGAGCGTAGATAGTCCGAGCGTAGATAGTCAGAGCGTAGATAGTCCGAGCGTAGATAGTCCGAGCGTAGATAGTCTGAGCGTAGACAGTCTGAGCGTAGATAGTCCGAGCGTAGATAGTCCGAGCGTAGATAGTCCGAGCGTAGACAGTCTGAGCATAGATAGTCCGAGCGTAGATAGTCCGAGCGTAGATAGTCCGAGCGTAGATAGTCCGAGGCGGTCCCGCAGGTCTCTCCCACAGACCAGTCTCTCCAGAGGATACGATGTAAGCTAGCTCTGTTCAGGGCTTGGTTTCTTCTTTGATCATGTTTTGGCTTTAGTTCCCTCTTCTCTTCCTCACTGTTGTGTGGTTTGGGCTGTTTTGCTGTGTCTGCAGTTACAGCCAGAGGAGTTATAGCCACTTATGCTAACATGCTACTGTGGTTAGCAGCGCTGTAGAGGCTAGAGGACGCAGCCTCGTTCTGTGATTGGAGGAGAGCGGGCAAATTAGGTTTTTTAGCCTCTGATGTGTTTGACTTTGAAACCCAGCTCCATATAAACAAATATTGACACATTTTACCAAAAACCAAACCCAAGGAATTCACTGAAGTGATTGACAACATTTTATCTGTATTTATTGTTGACTTTCCCAGTCCACCGAGGATTTCAAGACATATTTTGGATGATTTTATTTGAAAAAGAAACATATATTAAAATTCACAGTGGCGCAGTGGTTAGGCCTTTCTGTGTGGAGTTTGCATGTTCTCCCTGTGCCTGCATAGTCATTCTCCTGCAAAAACAAGTCTGATACTTCAGGGTGAGTGAGTGTTTGTGACGGATGCAAATCAGCGCAAGGCGTTCATTAACCTTCCACAACTCTCCCAACCAAATAAACATAATAAAACGTACGTTTATGGCTAACGGACTCAAACAGTCTCAGTGTGATGACGGACTGGAAGAGGAAAAGGAGATATCAGAAGCTTCACATTGGTCTAGTTTCTATAGACGTCATTAACTCCAAAGATAATCAATCCTAATCTTCTGTATATTCCTTGGTTTATTCATTTCAGGATTTTCCCACAGGTGATTGGTTATTAATCTACAAACTCTACTGTTGCAGGAGGGAGTGGTGACCGAGGCCGAGGTGCAGTGTGTGGTTCACTGCAAAAACCCAAAGATTCACCCCAAGAAGTGCTGCCCCACCTGCCCCAGTGAGTCCGGCACCTTCTGCAGCTGCGCCCGGTGGTAGAACTGTAAAATGGTGACGCTGTTGTTGTTGTGTGTGAAGGCTGTATCTTCGAGGGCCGTCTGTACAAAGAGAAGGAGGAGTTCAGTCCCGAGGGTCAGCCCTGCGTCAAGTGCACCTGCACCGTGAGTCCCTACACACTCTGCATTCTCTGTAGACCCAGGACTGAGGCTGTAGACCCAGGACTGAGGCTGTAGATCCAGGACTCAGGACTGAGGCTGTAGACCCAGGACTGAGGCTGTAGACCCAGGACTGAGGCTGTAGATCCAGGACTGAGGCTGTAGACCCAGGACTGAGGCTGTAGATCCAGGACTGAGGCTGTAGACCCAGGACTGAGGCTGTAGATCTAGGACTGAGGCTGTAGATCCAGGACTGAGGCTGTAGACCCATGACTGAGGCTGTAGACCCAGGACTGAGGCTGTAGACCCAGGACTGAGGCTGTAGACCCAGGACTGAGGCTGTAGATCCAGGACTGAGGCTGTAGACCCAGGACTGAGGCTGTAGATCCAGGACTGAGGCTGTAGACCCAGGACTGAGGCTGTAGACCCAGGACTGAGGCTGTAGATCCAGGACTGAGGCTGTAGATCCAGGACTGAGGCTGTAGACCCAGGACTGAGGCTGTAGACCCAGGACTGAGGCTGTAGATGAAGTTTCATACTTGGACCTGGAGAACTCGGACTTCTTAAACCCGGCTTGTTATTCCAGCTCGCCCCGTAGAACATTAACACAACATCAACACTGCATTACCGCACCTCTGTATTAGTGCGGGGCCCCTCTCTCCGCCTTCATAAGTCGGTTCTGAGGTCCCCCGGGGGCCACAAACCTTTAGCTGCAACAACATCCTCTCGCCCAATTGGCTAAGCTCGTATTTCTACATTCACACAGATACACACACACACACACACAGACACACACACACGCTCTCCGGTCTGGTAGAAGATTCATACACACATACATTGATGCACATCTACATACAGAGACACACACACTTTCCGGCCAGGTAGAAGATGAATACACACATACACACACACACACACAGACACACACACACACAGAGACACACACGCTCTCTGGACAGGTAGAAGATAAATACACACATACACATACACAGAGACACACACGCTCTCTGGACAGGTAGAAGATAAATACACACATACACATACACAGAGACACACACGCTCTCTGGACAGGTAGAAGATAAATACACACATACACAGACACACACACACACACGCAAACGCTCTTCGGCCTAGTAGAGGATACATACACACATACACAAGTACACACATAGATACACACAGACTTGTTCTCTGGTCAGGTAGAAAACACACATACACAGACGCACACACACAGATACACAGACACAGACATACAGATGCCTGCACACACACACACACACACACACACACACAAACACACACACATACAAACACACACACACACACACACACATACTCGTAGGCCAGGTAGAAAATAAATACACACACACAAACACACGCAAATACACAAATCAACAGGTTTTAGCAGCAGTATAGGAGCAGTTATAGACAGTTATGGACACGCAGAGACACACACACACAATCACACACACACACACACACACACACACAGAGCCGTCCTTCAGTTGGTATACATTAGATTTTATGGACCTGGGACCGTAATGATATTTGCATGTCATAAAGGCAAATTTGTGTAATTTGGAATCGCAGCTGTGAATTTATACTGTTTATGACGTGCCAAGGATAGCAGCGTGTCTGTCTGTGTGTGTGTGTGTGTGTGTCTGTGTGTGTGTCTGTGTGTACCTCTGCACATACAGTAATTACAATATTTTATTTAGGTGCAGAGTATGGGCTGCAGTGATGTAGCCGAGGGTTGTAAAGGAAAATGCAGTCAAAACCATTTTTCCATTTTAAGATCCAGACTAGAAAGTAAATACATGAACAAAAAACTCTATAGTTCCACTGTGCTGTATGTATCTCATTCCTGGGTTCGAATCCCGGTCGGAACAGGGCCTTTTCTGAGTGGAGTTTGCATGTTCTCCCCGTGTCTGCAAAAACACAGGAGCCATTGGTCCATGAATGTCCTGGATCATTCCTTGTCCTAAGAAAGAACAAACCTCAAAGGCCTAGTACTAATAACGTGTGTTTGTGTTTGTGTGCGTGTGTGTCTGTGTGTGTGTGTGTGTGTGTGTGTTTACAGGGAGGACGTACTCTGTGCATGAGGGAGGTGTGTCCGGTGCTGTCCTGTCCCTCTCACCTCACCCACACTCCGGCCGGACAGTGCTGCCCTCGCTGTGTCGGTCAGTCTCTCTCACATCTACAGTATCTGCAATAATCCTGGGTTAGTCCAGTTTCAGATCTGGTTTAGTCCAGTTTTAGACTTGGTTTAGTTTAGACTTGGTTGAATCAATTCCAAACTAATATGCATCTCGTCACAATCTCAAGTGAACTAACTTTTGTGTTGAGTATATATCGAGAAACTACTTCCACATCTGTGACATGTGTCTATGGTTTTTGGTCTGTGGTCTATCTGGTCCCTCTGGTCTATCGGGTCCCTCTGGTCTCATTGGTCACTCTGGTCTATCGGGTCCCTCTGGTCTCATTGGTCACTCTGGTCTATCTAGTCTCTCTGGTCTCTCTGGTCACTCTGGTTTCTCTGGTTTCTGGTGTCTGGTTTCTCTGGTCTCTGGTCTCTTTAGTCGCTGGTCTCTCTGGTCCCTCTGGTCTCTGGTCTCTGGTGTCTCTGGTCTCTCTGGTGTCTCTGGTGTCTCTGGACTCTCTGGTCCCTCTGGTCTCTGGTGTCTCTGGTCTCTGGTCCCTCTGGTATCTGGTGTCTCTGGTCCCTCTGCTCTATGGTCTCTCTGGTCTCTGGTCTCTGGTCTCTGGTCCATGGTCTGATCTCTGGTTGTGTGTTCCAGGTCAGAGGAAGGTGTTTGACTTGTCGTTGGGCAGCTGTTTGTTTCACAGTGAAGTTTATGAAAACAACACATCGTTCAAACACGACAACTGCACCAGCTGCACCTGCAAGGTACACACATGGTCCTCCACATGGTACACACACACATGGTCCTCTTCATGGTACACACACGGTCCTCCTCATGGCACACATGGTCCTCTTCATGGTACACACATGGTCCTCCTCATGGTACACACATGGTCCTCCTCATGGTACACACATGGTCCTCTTCATGGTACACACACTGTCCTCTTCATGGTACACTTGGCCCTCTTCATGGTACACATGGTCCTCTTCATGGTACACACACTGTCCTCTTCATGGTACACATGGTCCTCTTCATGGTACACACACTGTCCTCTTCATGTTACACATGGTCCTCTTCATGGTGCTCACATAGTCCTCTTCATAGTACTCACATGGTTCTCTTCATGGTACACATGGTCCTCTTCATGGTGCTCACATATGCCTCTTCATGGTACTCACATGGTCCTCTTCATGGTACACATGGTCCTTTTCATGGTGCTCACATAGTCCTCTTCATAGTACTCACATGGTTCTCTTCATGGTACACATGGTTCTCTTCATGGTGCTCACATAGTCCTCTTCATGGTACATATGGTCCTCTTTATGGTAAACACCCTGCTGGGACTCTGAGGAGCACAGGGACTGGTCTCCTGCTGCTCCCACAGTCAGGACTAAACATGAGGATTATTTAGCTAAAATCTGGAACAGTCTTCCTGAAAATGTGAGACAGACCTCGACTCTGACAATGTTCATTTCAGAAGCCATACCTGCGTGCGACAGTCAGATTGTGTCAGACCTATGAAGCAAAGCAGGGCATGACCTGGTTAGTACTGTGATGGGAGACCTCTGGGAACACCAGGTGCCACAGTGGGGCGGCTGCGGCTGTAAAGTGTGTGTGTGAATGGTTGGTGGTGGGGGGAGGGGCCTCGCTTCTGTCACTGTGCCCCAGGGCAGCTGTGGCTACAACAGTAGTTTAACCCCGCTGTGTATGGAGTGAATAAATAATGACATTTGAAGAGTCTTTGAGCGTCCTAAAAAGCTCTGTATAAAACTAATGCATTATTGTTATTATTATTATTGTCGATATTTTTATAAATCCAGGTTAAAAACTATTTTGTAGCTGTGTTTATAACTGAAGGATTTCATATCTGTGTAACTGATCGTGTTTATTGATGTATAAACCGTGCTGTATAAATAAACTTGCCTGGCTTTACTGTTCATGTTCTCATTATGAGTCTATGGTCTAACAGTCTCCTGGTCTTTCCTGGTCTTTCCTGGTCTTTCCTGGTCTTTCCTGGTCCTCAGGAGTCCACGGTGGTCTGCAGGAGGCGCTGTTCCAGACTGGGCACATGTCTGGGAGAGCAGTGCTGCGACCAGTGTCTCTCCTACGTCAAAGTGGAGGAGGTCAAGTACTGCCGCGTACGCAACAAAATCTACAGGGTGAGATTATCCACGCTTCAAACTTCATCAAAGACAAAAATAAGAGTCACACAAACAGCTACAGAGCGGCAGGAGTTTACTATAATAAACTAATAATATTGAGTAATAATATAATATTACTCAATGAATTTAGACCAGGTGTGTCCAGACTTTATCTACTTTCCCGGTCGATAAAGGGAGACACCTGTTAGCGGCCCGGGGAATAATGTGGCGAGATATTGGTGAGAACAAGCCTGATATTGGCTACAGTCATTACTCATCACGGCGTATTTGTGACTAGTGACAAAGTAAGTGCATTCACAATTATAAATAATGAGGATGAAAAATACAATCTGAAATATTAAGTATATCATTTGATTTGTTCATTTTTTAATTCTTTGGCGAGCTACCTGAGAGGGGGTGGCGATCTGGCCTGGCCTCATCCATCCGTACACTCCACGCAATTATCATTTCCTGCATGTAACGTCTGGGTCTGGCAATCTGTTGAATTCCCTCCGACCAATCAGAGAGCGCGGGAGGCGGGTGTTGTAGTCAGATGTGGGTGACGTCAAGAGTTTGCGTCGAACGGGCAGGTTGTAGTTTGGGTATGGTGAAGAATGCGATAGTAAAGTATTCCGGAAGCAAATGTAATTGCTAGCAAAGATGGTAGCGCTACTCCCTACAGGCTTCGTTAGCGGCAAAGTTGATGGCTAGGCTAAATGCTAACGACTCACTCCCACACATTACAAACCTCACGGTAAACTCAGATCCAATCGTTTCAATCTGCAAAATGAGTTAACCCCTCCCATCTGTTAACGGAGCACATCCAGACCTTAGTACGAAATGTAATTTGTACTATGGTGTGGTACGACGAGGCTAGTGGCGGGCTACCCCGGGTTTAGATAGTATT